ATCTCTCCTCCTCCCTCCCCTCTCCTTCCCCTCCCCCCCGCCCCGCCCGCGCGCCCCGCCCGGCGGGGCGGCGCGGCCCCGCCCCCCCCGCGGTGTTGGATGTATGTTGGTTGGCAGGTTTGGCCATGAACTGACTTACTTGACTGACAGAGGCATCAAGGCTTCAGTTCTCGCCCATTGTTGATCAGCGACCGAGTACAAGGTGTAACTGTACCTAGGTAGGTACATCATCGGCTAAAGCTTGGGTGCTGCTGGGTGCTGCAATTAGGTGGGCACTAGGGCAGATGGGTGGGTATCCAGGGCATCTGGCCAGAGGTACCTGATCTGCCAGCATAACCTGGCCACCCACCCAAACAAGCCGCCGACGAGCCGCTGCGATCAGGTACTCTTGGCGCGCACGATACTTTGTGGAGACGAAAAAGATACATGATCCGAGCAGGCGTCCGAATGACGGAGCACATGTGATTTGCTCCAGCTCCCCTCGACGGTAGGCTTGTATCTGGGTACTTGGGTACTGTAGCACAGCCTGCTGCTGTGTATGTACTAAGTACCTAGGTAGGTAGGCACCTGATTGCTCCACCTCCCATCATGCTGCGACAAAGATGGAATGACCACTGGACAGAATCTGTCGACAGCATACATACCTAGGTGGTATGTGTGGTATGTGTAGGACAGGAGCAGCATACTGTAGGAACAAGTTGCAACCGATTCCTGTCTGTGGTCGACGGCAGCGTGGCCTCATCCGTCAGTTGCTCGCATGCTCACGACGTTGAACCCTATCACTGGCTCCGCTTCGAGTACCTTTCTCCTGCTGGGCGACTCGCGAGTCGGCGAGTTGGCGCGCAATGGCAGTCAACCATCGAACGATTGCAGCCGACTCTATATTAAATTCTCGTAACAATGAGCCCTACTGAGGTCATTACTTCGAAAATTTTCGCTGTCGTCGTCACCTAACTGCCTACTACCTAGTGTCTTGACGCTATGGAAGCCATATCTCCCCCGTCCCCGCTACCTGCCGTATTACCCATACCTAGTGTGTCTATTACCTACATGTATTTACTGTGTTTGGACGACGGGGGACCTGCCAGAAACCACCATGTAGCTGACCAGTGTGATCCACTGATCTACCGGCGAACGAGGTAAGAATACACGCTGATGAGAGGAAGAGGGAGAGGATCAGGAAGAGGAGAAAGGGAGCCGCAAGCAGTACAGAACTTCGTACGATTAGCATATCGTCTCCGATTTTTCCCTCCTCTTTGCGTATGTCACCTTCTACAACTAATCGACAGCAAGCCGGTAGAAAGAATCTCCAATCTAGTACGAGATTAGGTCGTTATCAGCCAAAGGTCACGCCGATGAGGGAACCCCAGCACAATCGAAGGAACAACTCCGGCCTTGAGGGGAGAAAACTCACGCCTTCCCATTTTCTGCTGATATCTACCCTCCCTGTAAGATTCCATTACCAACGGGAAAAGGATAATGCCTTGGCAACGGGCGCCGCAATGGTGTGAGCTACCACGACACTGATTACGCCGTTCCAACACCTGGCCACCTCGCAGTCCGCCCAAAATGTTTTTTCCTCGCTCTCCAACATGTTCCAAGACCCGGGGAAGACGCAATGATGATATGCCATGCCTTGGCACGCTTGGCGCACATTGCGGTCACGTTTGGCCAAGAAGAGGGCGAGACAGAGGGGTTGATGCTCCAGTTTATGGGGACAAGGAGTAGATACCATCTTTTCTGTATGCTACGCTGGATTCGTGGCGCTGGTCTATCTTGGAGTAATGAGCCAATGTAACCGACTGCCCAGAACTGCCCTAAACTGCCTTCTTGGGTGCTCGCGTGTTCCAAACAGCACCCGGGATATCTGGGCTTGGCTACAAACCGGATATCGGCGTGATGGCGAGCTAACAGTTGCATGGGTTTCAAGCCGCCCGATCCCAAGAAGGACGATATGGCGAGTGGTTGCCGTCGAAGCCGCGTCTTGCCCTCTCCGCCGGCCCGTGCAATGATTCTTTCCAGGGAGTTTGCACCACAGCGTGGATTTGCAGTCCCGAACAAGCTAGATCTGTACTCAACGACCTGCAGGTCTGGATCACGTCCAAATCGGCACTTTTACCCACTACGTATCCGTACTCAGGGAACACGGCAAGCATCATTGCTGGCCGAATTTCCGTCCAGGACTACGTACAACGCTACAAGGTAGAGATACATCGGGTACCAAGTTAACCTCCGGCATGTAATATACTTATTGTAAGGTTAACTTGGGCCATCTTATCAGAGTTGCTTGAGTCATCACCGATCACCTAGGTAGGTTCCCTATCAATCTTGACCGCCTCCAAACACGCACAGTATACGGACACAAGGTAGCTCTGTTCTTCTCTGCACGACGTGAGCTCGGCCCTGGGCAGATTGCACCAAACAAATCGCCCAAACGCGGCACGCGCCTCAATGCCTTTCGATTGATAAGGCGAGAATCCATATCCTTACCAAAGCGGTGTTGCATGTGAAGAGGCACAATTTCCTTGGCATTTGTTCGGCCTTGCTTACAGCCTCACCGAGACTACCTACTTTTGCACACAGACACACACAAGTAATGCACCCCCTTCTGATACCACGAAACGGGTCACCTCCTGCCATGTAAGGAAACTTCGTAGGCGCAACTACGGTACGTTTCTCCCTCCCACGCACACCCCACGTCCTACATCCTCTCCTTTCCACTCGGTGGCCCTCAACCGAAAACATGTGACCTTCCATCGATGTCGTTGGCCCAAAACTTCCCGTCTGTCCCCCTCGTTCCGCTTTCCCACGCAAAACTGCCGGATTTTTTTTTTACCTGCGGCTTACCGCACATCTATTTTCGTTATCCGGCATGCGAGATTTGGGGTCGATGTCGTTTTCGATACCCCCGAAATAAATATATATATTTTTTCCCCTCGCCGAAATCTAATAAATGCTACTGGCATACAATACATGTATGTGAAAAGAAATGTATTGGATGTACACGTACGCATGTGTTGCCTACGATCATCAACATCTTTATCTTCTTCAGCATGCCTCCCGTTAGCCAGTACAGTCAGTTTTTTTTTTTTTTTTTTAATTCCTATCAAACCCGCTGACCGCTCCTTCCCCTTCTATCTGACTGTACCCGTCATTCAAGCGAGCATAACAAATCTCAGATACCGGGGCGGCCCGATACGAGATGTGACCCTTAATGGTCCCCAAAAAAATAATAATCGCTGAGCATTGCGTGTGTTGGTACCAGCTAGTCTTCCATTCGTCTATATTCGTACTGTTGACCGCATTCAAGCGAACAATTTCGTACACCTATGATGATGCGGTGAAACGTTGCTTCCTCCTAGATAAGTATACCCTTGGTGACCATGTGCGCATTAGAGGAAGCCCTGAATAATTCATTCGTCTGTGTCCCATGCTTTACACCACTGATATACATGTTGCGTAATTACCGACAGATACAGTTCGCATCTCGTTATTGCCGAGCTACGTCCTTCCGCTCAAGCAACCTATGCAGGTCGAGCTTGAATTAAACGATTTTTTAGATTATTTATTGTGAACCTGCCTGTGGCGTAGTCCTCTGCTTTCAATATTCCACCATTTTCAAACCGCGTTCTTCTGGGCCAACTGATTATATAGTCAGCCACTCGCTCATCACTCCACGTAGCCTGAGCCTGTTGGTGAGAGCGGCCCGTAACGTAACCCATGACGCCTGTGCAATGCAAATCGACGAGGAACCCGTTGCGTAAATCATACCCCGACATACAGTGACCCCAAACCCCGCCTTTTCTTGCTCCATATCTGCCGAGATGAGGATCAATTTCCTCCGTGTGGAGGTTTCAGTTATATGTCCGCGACAAGTTGCGCAGATACCAATCTACTAGTTTCCGTCCCACCTTAGCTTCTGAAATATGAATCAAATCCTGCAGATCGTAAGTCAGCATGGTCACACTCCAAAAGCTTGTCGCTCACACAAGAAAGCTTGTCAAGCTTGGCCAAAGAAGCGCTAGAGATGGAGTTCCACTTACTCCTTGTAGTGCGTAATCTAAGTCGCTAACATTTACCCATTCGCCCTCCAGAAGAGCTTGGTCAGTCCAGCGGAGCTGCTTTGTCCTCTGCTTGTTAACCAGAAGGAGAGACCGTAATTCCTCCGGCTGCACCTCTAAGAAACCAGCGAGCTTCTTAAGATCCATGGTTGTGTAGAGACGTAGATAGGACTTAACGGTGGGACTCCACATGTTCGTCTTAACCTCATCCATGAAGATGGAGAGGTGGTGATCGATCGGGTCCACATTGGCCTCCGGGTTATCAAAATCCGGGGGTACAGGGGAGATGAACTTGGGGCAAGCAGCCCGGAAGAGCTCCTCGAAGATAGGGAGGGATTCAGGCCCTCCACGCTGCAGCTTAAGGAGCTGGTCGCCATACTTCTCCCTCAGAGCAGTGTGGATGGTGTCATCCAGGCGAGTCGGGTGGAATGAAACGCAGATGGCAATGAGGGCATACATCTGGTCATTCTTCTTGGTGATGGAGTCGTATTGGGCGTTCTTTTGGAAGTTCTTAGTGCGCGATACATAGACGAGAATGTGGCTGAACATGCGAATGGCATCGGCGTATCGGTGCATCATCATGTAGGAAAATCCCACATAGTAGTACGTGGTAAAATGGGCGGCCATGACACGGGCGAACATAGCCTTCTTGTTAAGTTCGATGTCATCAAGCGTCTTAAGAGCAAGACTGAAGTCGCCCAGCAAGCAGTGGACCCGTAGGAGACCAATAATGGAGAAGTAACCAAGCATTCGGTAGAGAGTCTTGGAGCCGTACTCGCCAGCAACGGCAGCAGGGTCTTCGTTTCGCTTCATGGCAGCCAACTGCTCGGAAATTTGTGACCGCTGGATCAGGGAATACAGGACGTTAAGTACACTATAGCAACCCCAGGTGTTTGGGTTCTCGCGCAGAATCTGCCTCTCCTCTTCATTGTCTCGTGCTTGGCGTGCGAGTCGGAGACGGTACGAAGAGAAGGAATTAAACTGATAGATGAATTCATCGATCACATCCCAAGCCCAGTAATGCTATTGACGAGCAGTGTTAGCAGGTATGCCAGATCAGAGAGACGGCAAGATGGACTAACCGAAGGTGGCTCTAGATCAACAGGCCCGTCCGAGTTAAGGATGTAGTGGAAGAGATTGCAGTAGGCATCGTAGCTCTGGAACTTGACATCCAAAGGAGCCGAGAAGTCAAGGGGTTGGGCGGCGGCGACAAGTTTGGACTGGATATCATCGGCCTGTTGAGCCATGGTCAAGGAGCTGACGCGCTCCAAATCCTCCATGCCATCTTCGTACTGGACCTGCTCCTTGTAGTCGGCAACAAGGGCCTCTTCCTCGACATCGCTGTCGTCTTCCATGGCACGTACGGGGGCCGCACCGTTTCGGAGGCCGCTCATCGTGAAGGGCTGGTTCGGGACACAAAGTTGTTGAAGTGATGGTTCCAATCCTCGATAGGTGCTTCGCTTTCACTCACTCAGCTCTCTATCGCACTCGGCGCGACGGCGGGGCTCGTGGATAGTAATAATTTTCGAGTTGGGGGGTACGAAAAGGCGGCGCACTCAACAACCGAAGTTTTAGCGAATCAATATTAGTTAGGGCTGTCTGTTTCAGCGCAAGTACCAATGGGCTATTATTAGTTTACCTAATCCGAATCTTGGTTCCCCGGTCCCACCTTTACCTTATCAGCGGGGCTTATCTGACCCTATCGATAGCATTGATAGACTAGTGGGGTGGCGGGGTAGGCGGCCGATTCTTGTAAACTGCTACGTCTTTTTTTCTGCCCCGCCAATTATTCTTTATCAAGTACGTAAATGAAGCCTACGTAGCTATCTATATATATCTATAGTAAAGTCACAAAAAGACTCAGTAAGCGCAGAGATTTAAACCTTGTGAAGTTGGATCTCATTACCGATTCTGACCTATGTGTATTTCTGGATTTCACATCACTAGATCGATAGTCTAGGGAAGACGGATCTCTTTTCGTCTGAGCCACCTGCAGATGAAATCATCCAGCATCACTATTAGTCACCGGTCCGCCAGCACTATCCGTCTCACAGAACACAACGTCTAAATCATTAATACCCCGTACTTGGGCAAGACTTACAACGACTCTATTGACAAACATTACCACTAATTCTCCGCCGTCCTCTTTTTCTTTTCTTTTTTTAAAAAAATTATATAGATAGATCCGAAAAGATGCCTGTGGTCACGCCAGAGAAGCTGGCTGGTCTGCAACAGAAAGCGGACGATGTGCGAAATGTATGTGTTTCATCCAGCTCAGAATAAAGCGTTTTCGAAAAGCTTATACAGTACAAGATTTGCATCTTGGCCCATGTCGATCACGGCAAGACCTCCCTCACAGATGCTTTGCTGGCCACAAATGGCATCATTTCACCCAAACTCGCCGGCAAGATCCGTTATCTCGATTCCAGGCCAGATGAGCAAATTAGGGGCATTACTATGGAGTCGTCCGCCATCTCCTTATATTTCTCTATGCTCAGGAGAACCGCACCAGACGCCGCGCCAGCACCCAAAGAGTATCTGATAAATCTGATCGATTCACCGGGTCATATTGACTTCAGTAGCGAAGTATCCACGGCCTCACGGTTATGTGATGGGGCAGTCGTCTTAGTCGATGCCGTTGAAGGCGTCTGCAGCCAGACAGTTACTGTTCTTCGGCAGACATGGATAGAAAAGCTGAAGCCTCTATTGGTTTTTAACAAGATAGACCGTCTCGTAACGGAGTTAAAGATGACTCCAGGTGAGGCTTATATCCATCTAAGCAAGCTTCTAGAGCAGGTAAACGCTGTATTAGGCAGCTTCTTCCAGGGCGAGCGTATGGAGGAGGACTTAAACTGGAGAGAACGCATGGACGAGCGGGTGGCGGCCGCTGCCGCGAAGGAATCGAAGCTCGGAGATGGCGAGAGTGACATTGGCGAGTTACAGTTCGAAGAACGAGATGACGAGGAACTTTACTTTGCCCCCGAGAAAAACAACGTCATATTCAGCAGTGCAGTCGATGGGTGGGCGTTTACTGTTCGACAATTTGCGAGTCTGTATGAAAAGAAGCTCGGTATAAAGCGCAATATCATGGAGAAGGTTTTATGGGGTGACTTCTATCTTGACCCGAAGACCAAGAAGGTTCTCGGACGAAAACATCTCAAGGGTCGGAATCTCAAGCCTATGTTCGTGCAGCTTGTGCTTGAGCAGGTATGGGCCGTCTACCAAGCGACAATGGGTGGCGATAATGGAAAGGGGTAGGCCGTCATATGCCTATTAGACTATGGATACGTTGACTCCTGCTAACTGAATCTGCCTAGGGATCCTGTTATGCTTGAGAAGATCACAAAGTCTTTAGGCATTACAATACCGCCCCAAATTGCCAGAGCTCGAGATCCTCGACTACTAATGACAACTGTCTTTTCATCGTGGCTTCCATTATCCACCGCCGTGCTTGTATCGGTTGTTGAGTCGCTACCGTCCCCCAAAGCAGCGCAGGCGGAGCGTTTGCCAGAGTTACTAGGAAGCTCACCCGGCTCAGATCATATCGATCCTATTGTCAAAGATGCGATGGTTAATTTCAAATCCTCCAGGTCGGATCCAGTGGTGGCATATGTCAGCAAAATGGTCTCTATTCCCGAGAGCGAACTACCCGAGAATAAACGGCGAGCTGGCCAGCTCAGTGCCGAGGAGGCCAGAGAACTCGCGAGGAAAAAACGGGCAGAATTTGCCCGAGCGCAGCAAGCTGAATCAAATGGGACGGGCGAGATAGGCGCACTTGAAAGTATATCGCTGGATGATTTTGTTCCCCAATTGGAAGAGAAACCTGTCGAGGTCGAGCATCTCATAGGATTTGCAAGGATATACTCAGGGACACTCTCAGTCGGGGACTCTATCTACGTCTTAGCACCCAAATTCTCGCCTGCCAACCCCCATTTGTCCCCAGAGCCTCAAAGGGTAACAGTAACGGCCCTCTATATGCTCATGGGGCGTAACCTAGAGTCCTTGAACTCAGTCCCAGCTGGCGTAGTTTTCGGCATCGGTGGCCTTGAGGGTCATATCCTAAAGTCAGGCACTCTATGTAGCCAGTTGGAGGGATCTGTCAATTTAGCTGGAGTGAACATGGCAGGCAAACCAATTGTCCGTGTTGCCCTCGAACCTGTAAACCCTGCGTACTTGGACAAGATGATCGAGGGATTAAAGCTCCTCGTTCAGAGTGATCCATGTGCCGAGTATGAGCAGTTCCAGAGTGGCGAGCACGTCCTTCTCACAGCTGGCGAATTACATCTCGAGCGTTGCTTAACGGATCTCAAGGAAAGGTTTGCAAGGTGTGAGATTCAAGCAGGCGCACCTATCGTACCATACCGAGAAACGATTGTCCGAGCTGAAGAGATGCGTCCACCGGCAAATAAAGATTTGGGTAGAGGTGTTGTCGTTGGCGTGACAAGCTCGAAGCAAGTGAGCATCACACTTAGAGTTAGGCCTCTGCCTCAAAACGTGACGAATTTTCTTCTGAAGAATGCGGCCTCGGTGAAACGTGTCTATTCCGAACAACAGGATGTCATAGAGGATGAAGATGGCAAGGACGAGATACAAGAGCAGGAAAAAGTCGACGTTGATGAGGATGTTGTTCAAAGCAAAGTACTGTCTACCGAGGAACTAAAAGGAAAGCTTCGGGAGACACTCGAAAGTGGCAAGGGCCGCGAAGTTTGGAGAGGTATTGTCGACAAAATCGTGGCATTTGGGCCTCGGCGAACAGGTCCAAACCTCCTCATTGATGCAACGAAAGATGGGTTATTTCCCAAGGTTTTCTCCGGAGACAAGATAGAGGGCGACGCTCCGAAGGCTGACGAGGCGCTGCATGCCGCCCATTTATGTGATAAGGTCACATACGCGTTTCAACTGGCTACTAACCAAGGCCCGCTGTGCAATGAGCCTGTTCAAGGAGTCGGTATCATAATCGAGGACTTGACCGTAACGGCCACAGAAGAAGAAACCTCAGCCCGCGATCGGTTAGGCAGATTGACTGGGGAGGTCATTAAGACGGTGCAGCAATCTATTCGGCAAGGATTTTTGGATTGGTCTCCACGGATCATGCTCGCCATGTACTCGTGCGAGATCCAAGCCAGCAGTATGTGGACATATTTCCCCTACCCCTCCCTGGCGCAATCATAGACCACCAAGCTAACACTAACGTCCACAACAGCCGAAGTCCTAGGCCGCGTCTATGACGTGCTAACGCGTCGCCGAGGCCGCGTACTCTCAGAACAGATGAAAGAAGGAACCCCGTTCTTCACCATCCAGTCTCTCCTGCCGGTAGCCGAGTCCTTCGGGTTCGCAGATGAGATGCGGAAGCGAACGTCAGGCGCCGCACAGCCGCAGCTCATCTTCGCCGGCTTCGAGGTGCTGGACGAAGATCCGTTCTGGGTGCCTTTTACGGAAGACGATCTCGAGGACCTCGGCGAGCTCGCGGACAAGGAGAACGTGGCCAAACGCTATATGGACGGCGTGCGGCGCAAGAAGGGCCTGCTCGTTGAGGGACGTCAGCAGCGTGTTGCGGCCGAGAAGCAGAAGACACTGAAGAGGTAGTTTTGGTGGATGTTGTAGGATGTATGTGATATCACGTCTGTAGTGTAGGCATAATTAACTGCATCTATCAAACCTTGCCCTCGTCATTGAAAGTGAGAGAACAAGCTTACAAACTCCCTATATCTAGAAAGAAGATGTCGAAAACCTATCACCCAGATCGTAACCCTCCAGCGGTAGGGTGCATCTCAGGCCCCAAGTGAATAATACTATTCAGTTGTGGAAGATAACTGAAACCCTTCTGTATCGCGCACATAAACCTAGTGGAATACACAGCCGGGTAGGCTGCTTTTAGAAAGTAGAAGGACACAGGTCTGCCGTTTAATTGAACTGCGAAAGGTCTTACTTGAATTCCTTCCCTTGCAATTCTAGCTTTGGAATCGATATAATTAACCTGAGCGGCGCTCTTGATTACTATTGTTCGGTAGTTATGAAACTCCTGCACCTATGTGTCCTGATTTTCACATATACCATTCGCAGCACTATGATTACACGGATACATGCGCCAGAAATACATGGCGATTCTACCGTGGATGCTTCACGGCATCTTCATCTAGTCGCCGGCGAAGCCAGTCGGGTACAAACGCTTTGACCTTGACGGCGATGTCCTCGTCGACAGCACTGCCTTCCTCGCCCTTGCTGGGCTGAATCACGAATTCAGCCCCCGGGTCGAACTCGAACGTCGCTGTATCGTTGGGTACTACGAGATCCGACATGAGTTGGACGCGACACAGTGCGAGCCCAATGTTACCCGTACTCGCGAGGAATGTGCCGGTACTGCGCCCTTTCTTGCCCAGGCGCCCGATAGTGAGGCCATGGAGGTCTCCGCCCTCTAAGGGTGGGATTGCGTCTGCCTTGTATTCCAAAGTCGTTGGTATGGTCTCCGTCGCGCCGTAAAGCATACAGGGCAAGACGCGCTTGCGCACAACGCCGCGATGGCGCGTGCGGATAGTCAGCTCCTGGCCAACGTAGCAGCCTTTCCGGAAATCGATGCCGCCCATGACGTCCATGTTGGACTCCTGTGGTAGTGCTTGCGTGGGGATGATCTCGGCGCTGCCCTCCGGTACACCGCGCAGGTAGCGGCGCACGCGGTACGCTGCTTCGTCGGTCTTCTCAGCGGCCGCAGACTGTAGTCCTGCCGGCAGGTCTAGAGCCTGTATTTCCAAGTCGGCCCCGGTAGTGAGAATACGGTAGCCCATATCCGGGGCCCTCAAGTCAGGCAATATGACAGTGTCTCGGCCCGTCCGGGTATGGTTGCTCGGGTGTTGCGCGGATGTGGTGGCGCTGTCGCCATCGCTCCATATTTGCCATACGCTCATCTCATCCTCATCTATTGCCCGCAAGGAGATCTTACTGCGCAACTTGAAGCGTTTAAGATGCTTCAGCAGAGTGGGTAATTGGACAGCATCGACTTCGATTATGAAATGCGGGTCGGCACCTGAGGTTGGAGGGACTGGGTAGACGTAAACATCATGTAGGACGCGGCCGAGTGCGTTCAGAAAGCCGCAATAATGCCACGGTTTCTGCTCTGCTGGGGAGCCATTGCCATTGACACTGGCCGTGTTGGCTCCTTCAATGGATGTTGTGGTGAGGCCCTGGAGGAAATGCGGCGCATCAACACCGGAAAGGGATATTAAACGTCGTGTTGTTAGACGCGCATGGCCCGACGACGGATGTGAGGGTGGGATATGCTGCGACGGCGTTTTTATTGCTGTTGTCGTTGAAGAGCCGCTCTTGGGGGTTTCACGGAGAGCTACATTGGTAGAAAAGATGCGTTGTTGACGTTGGGACTGTAGGGAGGGTTGTTGACGTCGCAGGGATCGGCACGATGGGCAGACGAAGTGTGCTCGAGGGCTAAGAGGTGCCGAAGACAAGCTTGTCAGAGACCATTTTGCGGCGCTGCGAGGTAGGATTTGCATGTCGCCAACTAATGTCGACTCGAGTCTGGGTAGAATTCGCGACGGGCGGTTATGGTTTGCGTGATGAATTGCGCATACGCTCTAGATCGATATATCGTGGCCTGGCACGCGCTGATGCTCCCATGAATGAGTACTATGCAGTAACGAATGCCAGCTGTAGGTAGGCAGGTCGTCTAGAATAATGGGGATGATGCAATTATTGGTTATCTCTCCGAGCCAAGCACTTTGGTGATAATACCAGCATTACAAAGCTCTCCAAGCTGATCTCATATGGATGATGGAGGGGCGGGGTGGGCCGGGGTTTAGATAAGATAAAGGAGAAGGTCGACAAAGTCCTACGTACTTAGACTAGGTAGTATGCTTCGTATTTCTAAGGGACAGAACGACTACCCAGACTTAACATCTGTTGTTAGCCTGTGAGCATTATTTTCGATCAATCTAGTAGAATAGAATTCTCTGAAGCTCGATGAACGGATGTTTGAGAACAAGGATGCCTCTCAATTCACCCAAGTCAAGTAAGTTACAGCAAAGATAAAAACAACTTAGGTAGATGGAAGGCAGGTAAGTCTATATCAAGGTAAAATCTACAGCATCCTGTAATAATCATGTAGTAGGAAAATCTCCAGAGGTCCTGTTCTCCGTGACACACAGCAAAAAGGAGACTTTGGTAACAGTTTACTCTCTTTCCATTTGGTCCGCAAAGGAACCCAGGTATCGATTCCCGTTCTCAAACAGCAGCTTTACCCCAATCACAGCTCGAAATCCTTGTCCATTTCACGGTATCTAGCAATGTACAGGTCGCTAGAGGTAGCAATAAATCAACCCAACCTGTCGACTTACATAGTCTCGATAGGCGTGAGCTCTTGGACCGACTCTAAGTTATCGAGGCGTGCCTGCAGCTTCTTTCTAATCAAGCTGGCCGCATTGCTAGTCAGTGGCAGCCACAGAGGGACTTTGTCGTTTCGACTAGCCACAAGGTATAGCACCTTGGCTACGGCAGACGGCGGGACGCCGCCGCCTGAGGTAGAAGCCTTCTTCACCCAGGCAGCTAGCTGACGCGCTGGCATATCGGCACCATCGTAGTCCTCGTGGACCGCGGTATATTTCTTGCTACCATGTTCGAACTCTGTTCTTATACCGCCTGGCTCGATGATGCAAACGTTAACTGTTATGAACAGCGAGGATTAGCCTGGATTGATAAGTCTATAACAAGAATGGGGGGTATGTAATGCCATATCATACGCCGGATGTCGTGACTAGCTGTCAACTGAACGGTAGCATCTTCTCAGGGGACCGCTGCGCCCACAAAACTGCAGAGAAAGTAGGGGGGAATATGTACAACTTACTATTCCAGTCTGGGTGTAACTCCCGAGCGAAAGACTCTGAGAAACCTTCTACAGCAAACTTGCTTGCATGGTAGAATGCATAGCCAGGAAACCCAGCCACGCCAGCAAGAGAGGACATATTGAAGATAATGCCACCGCGGTTCCCTCTTCTCATCACGTTCGTGGCCCTAGTAGCCACTCGTACGATCCCGAAGAAGTTTGTTTCAAATTGGTCGTGCATCTCTTGTTCGGTTGCTGCCTCAGTATCGCCGGCCAACTCATACCCGGCATTGTTGACAAGTATGTCTATGTGAAATTGATCTTTAAAATGGTCTGCCGCTGTTTTAAAGGCTTGTTCGACGGATGTAGGAGATGCCACGTCCAAAGTCAGCTTTAAAATAGTGTCGTTGTCTGGAAGGTACGACAAGCTGGCGAGGTTTCTAGCCGTCGCAATAAGACGATAACCAGGCTTAGCAGCTATAAACTCAGCAACAGCACGACCAATGCCGCTGGAACACCCGGTAACTATGCTTCGTCAGCATAGTCAATAGAGGCAAGAGAGGCTCCTTACTGAACCAGAGGGCGTCTGCTGGAAGCTGGTATGGCTTAGTATTGACCGAGTTCATGTTAATTGATGATGAGAAGAGCCTACTAGGGGTTTCAGACGAGTTAACCTAGATAATAAATAGAACCTGGTTCAAAAACAATGACACGCCCATAGACTTAAATTAAAGGTGGCCCTCGCTAGCCATTTAACATAGAACGAGAAGATACTTCCTGGCCGATTCAGGGGTAAGCACCGAGAAGCACCGCGCTGCACACAATGTGGCGAGCTCGTTCCCGGCGAGCCTAATCGGGCAAGATATCTGACTGCTCTCAGGACTGTTGACCCTCATGGTCGTCTTCAACCAAGCAAGAATGGAAACTATGAGCAGATGGGTTGGCACTGTGCCGCACCGAATACATTCCCAATAGCAGCTATATACATTCTTATGATGAGCTACTGTTGGCTAGTATAAGCCTCACTTTTGTTGCCGTCATAAAGGGGGTTAAACACCTAACTAGATATGTATCCAGTTCAGAAGTATTTGCGTGGTCGCGCGGCACTCGTGGATGAGCTATCTATAAAGCAAACAGCAGAATCGTCATTAAAAGCTGAGCATTTCAAATTACACTCCATGTTCTTATGTGTGATTATGCATTAGTAGGTCGTGCTCCCTCTCACACTGTATCAACTTCTGCAGTGGTCTTGCTGGTGCTGGTGCTTCATTCCTTCGTAAAGGCATGTTAACCCGGACCGGGATTCGAGTCGCAACCGCCGGTATGAATCATACCGGATGGATCCCTAGAACTCGACCTCCGGCAAAATGACCCACAGCGACTCGGAGCAGCAGACACGGGCGGCTCTTCGTTTAGCACAAGCAATATCAAGTAACCTAGGGATGCCATGGAGTATTAACCCCTTAAAATCTGCCCATAGGTTTTACAAAAGATTCGGCTTTCCTCATGCAGGGGGAAACACGTCTTGATAATCAGTAGCTGGGTAAAAGTTAATATGATTAATCTAACATCTCTGTGAAATATACCTAGCTTGAGCCGTCCTCTTTCTGCGACAACTCCGTGCACCTAACATGTGCTTTTTCAAACAGCCTCTTTTCTTTGCGCTCTTGGTCGATATTATTCTCTTACATGGAAGACCCTACTAGAGATCATCTTGATATCCCAACATACAACTATCTCGTTCCTTATTCTCAAAAGGGAGGCTACTACCGCTATGAAGTAACTACAACTCAGGACGAAGCCGCAACAGGGGTAGAAGTGTTGTGACAGTAGCAATGCTATGTAACCTTGTTCACCTATGTCTACCCGGTGCACGGCATTGGGGGTATGCTCACAGGTCCGGCTTACATGTAAATGAGTTGAAGCTCAGCTTTCAAAGACCTTCCTCGACTACATTCTCGGAGATGGAGTTAGCTTCATTATTCTTCGGAAGGGCGGGAGGTCAAACTTACGCCACGTTACAGATAGATACCAACATGAACAGAGCTAAAAATAATAAAATAAAATCAGATGAAATGCTCACTTGTCGAGAGACTACGCCACCCCTCGCTCGGTACCCAGCTGCGCACCTCACCAACAACTCACCTCCCGGCCCCACGAAGCCCGAGAAGAAAAGCAACGATGAAAGGACTTTGTGATTCTCCCTCGGCCATGAAACAAATCCGTCGAACTCGCAATACGGCGTAGCACAGTTTCATGTTGCGGCTTAAGCGAGCGGCGTCTCGACCTATCCTAACGAAGAACCCAACCAGCTCATTGACGGACATTCCTACTACATACCTACCTACCTACATGTCTAGCCGAGAAAAGGGCCGTGGAGGTGAGGGCAACTAGTTCTACACAAGTAGAAAACGTCGATGGCGGCGGGAATAACACGATGTCATTCGGTCTGCTCTCTGCAGGTATTTTCGGCATAAGCCACACTTGCTGGTGTGATGTTGGACGGCGTGGTATGTTATGCGTGAAAGTATCTCACACTTCCGATGGGGTTGTTGGGGCTTAACTGTCCGCATTGCTGTTATTCGCAGCCTTACGGGGATATGCAGGTTCCGCCTGCATATACCCGTATCGTATCTGGTGCGGTGTACCTAAGGTATAGAAATATAAGATCAAATACTTACCAGTACCTGGTAAAGATGGGTATGCATTTGAGCCCGGAGCACATCTGGCGTCAGGTACCTACATCGTTAGCCTTGGTGCGACGGAGATGCAACGTCTCCTCTCGGAAGCAAGATGTGCTGCGGATATCCGTAAATTCACGGCATGCTCCGTTACGCAAACGCGGGCCATCCAGATAGGCCTCCTTGTATACTTCCATATGTATAGTTCTACAACAATAGGTGAACGTGCGAAATGAGCTGGCTAGGCAAGATAGCGTTCGATGAGCCAGCCAGCCATCAATCTGGAACACAAATGACAACACAACAAACTACCTACAGGTAAGTTAGGGAGAGGCTCGCAAACGACTAGACAGTGGCTCGGACGGCTACTCGCAGCGAGTTATTTGCAATTGCATTGATCCAAAGATTATTACGCATTTTGGAAAGTTGCTGTGCTTTTTTTTTTTTTTTTTTTTTTTCGCGCTGTTGGTCAAGGCGCAGTGCAGCTAGGCACAACAAGAATGGACATTGACAAATACTACTGATAACAGCCATGTGGCAATGACGAGATCGATCGGGCACCTAGGCGGCACAGGCAAGGCGTAGGGCAGGCCGTGCATTCCTTAATTTGATAACCAGGGTTTTGATTAATAGTAGGAATGTCGACTGGGTAACTAGATGCGAGATTCATACATTTGAAGACCTGGTAGGGGGGTGTGAAACCTGGCTGAATTACTGAGAACAGGTTGCAGTGATCATCTGATCAACAGCTGTTCAGCATCACGACCCGGACGGTGAATGAACCGCCGTCGTCTGTTTGCAAACATGCCCAGTTAAGGGATGTGAGAGAATGATACCTACCAAGGCTGCAGCGCAGATCGGTTGAAGGATGGTGAAATGTTACGCTGTTGTTGGTCTCACGAGAAACGCTGGCGATTAAGACATCTCCGTGAGTCTGCGAGTCAGTACCTAGTCCGCGACAAGAGTGTCTAATGCCTGTGTAACATGTTCAGTTAGCAAATCATCACATGCCAAATCCACCAACGTTACTTTGTCAATGCAAGTAAGATGCTCCCCTTCCACCCCACCACCACCTCCATTTTCCGCTACCCGCCCACCTCGAATGATGAATCGACAGAAATTATATTACGTGCATATATAGGTAAGGAATTCGCTCCGCCGTTTCGGGATTTGAAACATCTTTCGATCCGTAGCGGGTGCTAAACTACTTGTATGTCTGTCTACACAGCACGTAGAATTGTAGCCAAGTATCGTAGAATGAATACTACCTAGGTGCTGAGTTACCAACGTTACTCAATAGATGATAAGGACTGGATGAGCAAGCTGAGCTAAAGCCAAGAAGGCGGGGGAGGTATTCATCTCAGCGTGGCTTCGTTTATCATTTCGAATCCTAGGGCCTACGTAGTAGTCATTCGGCAAACCAGTCATACGCAGTAGGATCTGGGAGTCCAATCAGTCATCTGCCTACCTACCTAGACTGTAATGTCTAGACTAGACTGCTGTACTGTACTTTTTGGTCGTGCGCGCTGGTGGGACGTGTTGTCTTAGTACCCAGATCGGGGACTGGGCAGACGTGGTCATTAGGTTGGTGGTAACCATCCGTGCATCAATTCGTCTCTTTCAGGTGGGTAGGGCAGGACAGGGGAACGTTGGCGGTGACAAGAAGGGTTGGAGGCTGACCGCATATGCTGATGACGATGACGACGTACACTGCAACTCTGTAGAAATGAGTAGGTACTGACAGTACACAACCAAATAGCAGTGGATTGAGGAGAAATGGGAAAGGGGTTAGTGGGGACGTGTCTTGTGTCGTCCTGTAACCGTCCACTGAGACTAACCTACACAGCACTGAGAGGTATCAGAGAGGTATGTAGGTAGACCTGCAACATCCAGTGGTTTGTTTTACCTGGCCCTGCTTGGTGTAGACAGACCCTGGATCAATCAAGAGCAGAGGATGTGATAGGCGAGCCAAGGTCGCCGGTATGCGTTGGCTGGCATCCGGATAGGCGTCGATGACCCTTCAATGGACGTGTGGTGACACGACAACACCATTCTGTCGGGTCGGTGTGGATTGTCGTGGAGGGTTGGATGGCTGGATGGCTGAATATGCGATGCGGGTGATCTCAGCAGGCGGGCAAGCAGGCGGGCAAGCAGGCGGGCAAGCAGGCGGGCAAGCAGGCAGGGAGGCAGGGAGGCAGAGACAAGGCAGGCTGGCTGGCGAACAAGTCAAGTGACTGTCCAACCGTTTACCGTCCACCGTCCACCGCCCCTACACTTGGACGCGGCCCCTCGCAACTCCATGCCATACCATTCATACTGTAGGTACTGTATGCTTGCTTGCTTGCTTAAGGCATGCTACAACATAACGTGATAATAACACCATCACAAAGCTTGCACAGAAATGAGGGAGGATTCAGTGGGAAGAGAGTCGGAGTTGGACACCTACCTACCTACATTACAGTGCTGGAGTAGGTAGGTACATGGCTAGGTATCCGTGCTTGCTCTCCTTGCTTCCTGGCTTCCTGGCCTGCTGCAAGGCAACCGTAGAAGGACCATGCATGAGGAATGCATTCTTGCCCAATTCGACACCCCACACCTTCGATTGCTTGCACGGATACCTATTGTACTTACTTGGTGGCCTACCTACATCAGGTACTATGTATGTAGATAGAATGCTCGACAATTGGACGTTGACGTACTACCTACGGTTGTTGAACTGCACACTACAAACAGTGCTAGTTGTTATGAAGCTGTTGATCTCGTTCCTATTCATCGAACCCATCACGCAAGGCTGCGTGTGTTTTGGAAATGCCAATTTCGGGTTTTATGTCGTTCGCCGACCAAATCAAGTCGGCCGAGGTGAATGCGAGTGCGAGACATGGCTTACTTAAGGGCTGAGCTCGTATACATGTACTTCCAACGAACTACTGGCGATCTCACTTATCGTTTGATCCATCGTGCAAATCGGTAACCCAGCGAGCCGGTACTTATGCCGACATCTACTAGGCTTACTACTAGTTTACTGTCTAGTCTCGGGACAATAGGAAAGGCAATGCAATACGCTACCGAAGAAGACTATATGATATGGAAAAGATGTCCGAGAAGACTGAACAAAAGTATCATAATATCGCACACAGTACAATAATCTACAATATATCAATTTCAATATCTACTCTACGGACAGGCGTCATCCTAGCCTACATTGTACTCTACTGTAAGTAGTGGAATTCCGCCTCTAAACTACTCAGTGACCTGGCCACATGGTAGTGAAGATCCGCTTGATGGGGGGCCGAGTCAAGGATCAGCCAGGTCGACGGGTGAATCCTTTTGGCGCTATCATTGGATACTCAGCCTGATTCCTGCGGACTTTACAGTAAGTAGAATCGGAATGGGTACGGCTACCAATCTACATACTAAGTATACAAGCCAGATAAGTAAAGTACCTAACTTGCGCGTGTGTGTTGACCAGCACAGTTTCCCCCTGATCCCTCATCCATCCATGAATATAGCTGCTCGGAACGGAAAAAGTGAACAAAGAACCAGTCATATTTTTCCAACGATGCTCCGGCCTTTCCCTGGACGATCCGGGGAAAAAGAGGCTGGCTCCACATAATATGTTACCAACAAATAGGATCAACTGACCGAGTACCAAAACACGGAGTTGAACGAGCGTCCAGGTACTCTCACCGGGAACCGAAAGATCACCGTGTACCGAGCGCCAAGCTAAGCAGCCTTTTATCGCCGAGTACGCAAGGAATTAAGAAATACCTTTGTGGGGAAGAAACGGGCGTGCACACATCTCGCTACAACTGTACAACAAGATCTCCCTACAGCGAAAGTATACCGAATTCCTACCCAACCCCACTAGTAAAGAAAAAAAAAATTTATCAAGCGATGAAGAAAATGTCACGGCTGGAGTAGGTACAAGATTTCTAGTGCGCGGGGGCGTGGTGGGTGACTCGTTGCGAAGTTTGCCAGGGTATCCATAGAGCCGGGAAGAAAGGAAATTTGGGAGTAGAAAAGATCCGCTATTCACGCCACGAAACTGGGGTTAAACGAAGCGTTGGGCCGAATAGGTATTCTTTCTATCTATCTCCCTAGTGTACTGTACATACCTACTGTTGGGTACGATGCCGAAAAGGCAGTGCAATTAACAGATACCTAGGCAGCTAAGCCCAAGTGACGCCGACGATGCCCCCATGTTCGCTTCATCTGTACGTGTCTCGTATCAATCAACACAGCCACTACTTAAACACTGTGACCGAGCTACCCGTAAAACAAAATCCCCCGCGCTACCAACAATCGAGCATGGGCACTGTCCCTGTGCCGTCGTACGTGCGCGGAGAGCAGAACGTCACGCATCCCGTACCTGAGCCTCGGCTAGGAGGCATAAGCATGTCTTTTTATTATCAAGTTGCGGTACACGTACCTACATAGACATACTTACGCATACTTACACTATTGCCGGGGTCATGTGTAGGTATTAAGGTGTGCTTAATGGGGAGAGCAGGGTTCAGCAGGCACCGGCATTCTTATCTCCGGCCTGGAGAAGCGGAGAGGAAATGTAACCAGTTAGTAGATAGTCTTCACCACGTCATGTCCACGCACGCAAGGCACAAAGACATGGATATCTGTCTGGTGCTTGATTATCATCACTAGTCACCTGGACGCGAAAGCGAGGAAACGAGGCCTGCCTTAATCAGACATGTTTAAAGCGAGGTCAGGTCAAGGTTCGAGCTGTTAATGTAAATGGCATTGTAGGTAGGTACTGTATCTCGGTAAGTTAGATAGCGTAATCAAAGACACCAAAATCGTCACGCGACTCAATCTAATCAATCAATGCAGGCAAACAGGCAAGGCCAAGGCAAGACCAGGCAGCCGGCCAGAGAGACGAAATGACGAATGACATCAGCATGCGCACACTCTTTACTTACAATACCTACAGCCTGACGCAAGGCAATGTCAAATCGTTGAAACAGTAGTTGTACGCGCGTGTGCGGCGGATATAGCAAAGATTGAAGGGAAAACGCCCCCAAAAGGATTCCAGTATACTAGGTATTCCATTTCATGTTTCAAGATAGCCAACATTTGCCATATAGACAGATCCACACGTTCAGTGGTAATCCTCGGAACCGCGGCATTCTCGCGCGGGCCGGGTATTTTTCGGCCCCGACGTACTGTACTGCCATTAAAATAAGGGAAAGAGAATCCATCCCATCATCATAATACATAAATTGGGCAGTCCCATATCCGGGCAGAGAAAACCCAATACAATGGAACGGGAAGTTAAGACTCCGAAAGCCGAAAGCGGCCGACGAATCTCTCCTCCTTTCAGCCACATTGCGGCGGCGGGGGGGGGGGGGGGGGGGGGGGGTTAGAACAATGGGGGTTGTTATATTTTTTTTTGTTTCAGAAAG